ATAAAAATTTAGTCTGTAAGCAAGCTAAAATATTTTACTCGCAGTTGATTCTCAATATCAATGAATACTAGCAATTCTAAAATTGAATAAAATGGATGGCCAGAATGTAATATTTTAATAAAATGAACAATTATTTTGCCTACCAGTACAATCATAGAACAGAAGTCTATGTTGCCAAGTAAATCTGGTCATGTACCAAAGTGACCGTCAAATTAAGCTTATTGCTATAGCATTGACAGGATAAACTGTCGATTCTCTCCAATAGTTCATGAGATGTTGGCCGAACGAGAATCACTCTTCCATAGCCAATAATTTCGCAAAATTTTAAAACTCGCGAATACACTGTAAGCAAGAACTTTCCATAACAGCTCCGAAAATTAAAATTAAATAAACTCATTTTAGAAAGTGTATTTCTCACCTTAATTAGCCAATCACACATAGTTGCTCTTGTATCGGTGCTGATGCCGCTTCTCCGGAGGCAATCAGATTGGTAAAGACTGATGGCGGTTATATCTCGACGAAAGAGGTAGCGCGAAGTCTTCCAGTTGAAAAGAGATTGGTCAATTTCAGGGGCATATTTCATCATTGATGAATACCGATATTTGAGAGAAAAGAGTAAAATGGGAAGCTAAACACGACATCGGAATTATGCGACATTTGACATGCGTTTAGTGTCACTCTTGCTAGCTCATTGGTAGGCATTTTTATTACGGGCTCCAGGATTCATCTGCTTGACTTTCTCATTTAACAATAACCAACTTTTGTGGCCAGCTCCAAATCTGTGGATGAGTAACTATTATATGAGGTGGCATATAATAGTAGTGGCTATATGAATTTGTCGTGTCCTACAATTCCTCTAACAAGGAAAGCACTCTATCCAATTTGACAACTTTGTAGATAAACCAAATATATTTAAGCTTTTCACTGGATCTGACCAGGGGCATTCCATACCTAATGCTGTGGAATAACACCTGCATCGATAAAGTTGATTCACGCTCTGAGGAAGGAATTTTACAAGGTACAACACAAGCTACTCGCATAATTATTTAATTACCAACTTCACGGGTGAATGTGGGTGCACCCAAATGTGTATACATCAAGTTCGGTCTGGGCCAATTCGTGCTCACTCTTTAAAGCTTATCTACTGAATTTATGCTATGACATGTTTATGAGACAAAAAATAAATAGCATATTTTAAGCTGAAGACATGGACATTTCTTGAAGAAGCTATAATTGAGAGGCTATGGCAGCGCAAATCAAGGACACTATGGTTGTCGATGTCCAGCTCAATGAATGCTTAGCTTAAAGTGTAAATAATTAAACCACCTGTTATTGAATCGTCACATAATGCCATACGTTAGCGTGTTTGATGCGAGGTCTTTAAAGTTAGTTGCATCTCTCAACGAATTATGGTATCACATGCAAAGCTCCTGGGAGAATATTATCCCTTTTAAAGGCAAAAGGCCACCAGACCTATCGTATAACCACTGCAATCCTGTTTGTATAGTTGCCAGCTTATATCTCCCTGTTTGTCAAAATAAGTGTTCATCAATCAGCTTTTCCTGAGCACTCCTTTAGTCTATCTAACCACTCTTACTTATTTCTCTTCGCCCACACTTTATGTATGTAAGTTGCTCTTCCTTCTGTTCTAAAAGAGGAATTTTTGTTTTCATTGGCAACAAAAGCATGCCCCATCTCTTTCTAACATGGACCTATATAGCCTTGTGATTGATTATTGCTCTGCTTTTGTGACTTTTGTGACTAGATTGTGGGCAAACTTGACCTTGGTGCTAGAAACTATGCAATATATGGACCAAAATCAATCAGGAGGTTAAATCACATTTCCTACCATTGTGTGGAAACGATGAAACTCATCAAAATCCTGGTCATCCACGAATGAATATCGGATTCCTATGATTGTCGCCAGCTCGAGGCGATTTCCTGGATTCGAAAGCATTGGAGTCTCAAAAACGGAGAGTCTCTTTGCATATTCCAAGTGACCAGAGTTTGCTTCGTCCTGATCAGGAGTCTTGTCATCTTGAAGCTTCTCCTCAATATTTGGCTCCATCGCGTCTGCAAAAGGGACCTCTTCGAAAGAAGATCTCTGATCACTCGGTCGCGCACATGACAACACGTTTGCCCAGTAGGTGTCTTCCTCACTAGACATCGTTGTAGTGCTACCACTCAGAAACCGTGATGAATGAAAATCTTGGAAAGCCTGAATTGTTGTCTCGGGAATGACGATACCAAGAGGTTTTTGCTGATCCAGTCTCTGTTCATGGATCTTGTATGTCGGAGATGGCTTAATGCTGCTCGCCTTTTCGAGGGAAATTTTCTCCTCATGCACTTGTGGTTGTTCCGAAATGCTAGCCTGTCGCTGCAACAATTGACAGACTTTGTCGACGTTAGATGAGTTAGTTGAGGTAAAAGCGGCATCATGTGCACTATTCTTTTCTTTTTTATAATAGTTCGTGGCGGAAGAAAATACTGAAGTGTAGCCTGGTATAGTAGCATAAATTTACTTAAATAAAATATCATGTAATAAGATATATAATATCATAAGTTAACCACATTATGTCACCATCAATGAAAAAATTCGAAAAATGTATCATATGAAAAATCATATAAAATGTGATTTTTGACAAATTAACCAATGACAATATCGTAAATAAGGATAACTATGTAGGCTAATTTAATTACCTC